AATTGTTTCTATTAGCACAAAAGTGGAACTGATTTCAAAGGCCGATGCTCTAAACTACGGGTTAGGGTTACGATTTATCTTTAAATATTCACTCCCCGAAGTAATTATATTGGATCCGTATGATATCGCGTGTCGGGTCAGGGTCGTAACCCCTACTAGGGTTCTCCAATGAGGGTCGTCAATCGCTGTTGAGATTCAGCACACGAATGACACTGTAGCTGGTAAGGTTGACCTGACAAAATATGTGGGCTCCCAATTTGTGATTGGAAAATGCGTTTTTGACACTCTAAGATGCGTTTCTGCCTAGGGCTCCGCCCATAAGCCTGCGAGGGAGCGCCCGTAGTCCCCCCTTCGTTTTGAACACCCTCAATTCGGACAGGCGCGGTCCTGTGGAGCGGATGCACTTTTATGCAAGAGTCATGACTGATAAGCAGTCCATTGGCCGTTCGCATAAATGACCAATATTAGATGGGGTGACTCCCTTCGTGTCGGCGGCTGGGCCGTTCCGCCGGCCCCCGTAGCCGTTTCAGGAGGGCTCAAGCTGAGGCGGTCCATAATTCCGAAATAATAATTAATATTCTTTGTGTTGCAAGAACAACGCGACCGCGCCGACTCGCGTGCGAGTATTTATTATTTTAAAAAATAGTGTGGGAGATTAAGATGAAGCGTATGACTTACAGCAGCGCCGTGACATCTGTAAAACAACTGCTCATCGATCCCGATCATGGGTAGCGACTAAACATGGCAAACTGTTAATGACACATAAGGATGTAAGTAGTACAAGGTAGAGCTGAGGAGACAGAATTGTATTTGTCGGTAATTCTTTTTTCATTGGACTAATTTATCAAGCAGATGGTCATGACATGTCCCTGATATGTCGCGTAGATAACCATGGTGTTCATGGTCCGTAAATTTGATGAAATCCCTTCAAACGTCTTGTTCCGAGCAATGAACAGGTCAAAAACATCAGTCAACCATCATGTGAAGTCTAGTCCTGCATTAGAGCACGGCGGCTCATCTCAATCACGCATATGCTTTTTAAAATCGACTCTCTACGAGAAAATATAGGGTGGAACAGACCAAGATAATTCTCAAACACTCATAGCTTTATCGAGAATGGAAGCGTCTTGAGTCCTGCTACGCTCTTGACACTCTTGCCTATTAAACATCGCAGTATTCACGCATAATCTAATAACTTTCTTAACTTTTGCCACGAAAACTAGGGGATCACTAGCATTAGCAGATAGATTTCATACACATTGCCGACGTCTCATGCCAAGCCTCCCGACATCACTCGCAACGCGGTTTTCCCAAGTGAAGAGGTCGCTTTTGTCGAGAGTAAGAATAAGAACGCTGCTTACCCTTTCGATATTTTGTTGGTGGCTATATCTTTTGTCATACACATGGGAGAAGGCTACTGGTGGCACTCCCATGTCAAATAAATGCATTTGGAGCTTTAATTGCGGTGCTGGAAGGCAGCGACATACATGGAACTTCGACTCCTTTAATCCAGCATATGTAACTTCAAGTGGACATGGGGGGCGCTCCCCCCACTCGTACACAGGATATCAACGACCCGAAGCATTTCACGAGTGTGGTTATTGGCAAGAAGAGTACATGAAACTGCATCGTGAGATCCTATCAGGTAAACGGCCTCCGCGCTATCTGATCGCCGTGCTGCCCGAATCAGGCTTGGCGGACCAGTTGTTTGGGATCATAACATTGTTCTTTTGGGCACTTCTCACGGGAAGAGCATTCCAGATAACCGCTGGATATCAGCAAATTTCACCGTTGGAGACAGCTTTCGACGCCCCCTTCATCAATTGGACAAGGCCTGCGGGTGACCCTGAGGTCCTCACAGAGCATCTCTATGCAAAGTTCAAAGAAAAAAGGGAGTACCCCCCCACTCATGCTTTACTTCCCAACATAAGTGATTATGGGAGCTTGTTTCTGGTAAATATCTGGAATGGTGCATACAATTTTTATTCCTCGGCCGACCTGAACACAATTCCTGAAGGTGGCGGGAACAAGTCGGTGCTCTTTGTTGCAGCCAACCGGGGCGCTACTTACGGAATTTTTGACAATCCGCATCACATTCAAGAGCTTTCTGATGCAGGACTTCGGCCAGATACTGCATTTTCATGCGCGTTCCGTTTTCTATTTAACCTTAACAATGTCACAACTCAAGCATCAGAGACACAGCTGGCAGAGATGCAGTTCAATGCTTCCCAAGATACTCAATATAGCCTGCAAAGCGAGCGAAGCCTTCTCCAGGCTCCAAGATTGCTGCGTATTGGTATTCAGATACGTGTTGGCGACACTGTGTATAATGCATCCGCGAAGCCAGAAGATATTCGGCTTCAGGACTATAAGCTTTTTTTGACTGCGCCTTGCAGATCCAAGAACACAGAAGAACGGCTCCCACCACACGCATAATTTGGTATCTTCTCTCTGACTCGCATCGACTCAAACAGCTAGCTCTGGAAGAGTTCGGTCGAGATGTCCTAGTCACGGACACGACACCGAACAAACACGTCGTTACATCTATAAATGGGGGAAACCCCAATCTTGATAATGAAAGGGCAGATACCTTGGTAAAGGCCGCTGCCGACATGCTCAGCTTTGCGGAGATGGACTACTTCGTGTTGTCCCAGAAATCAGGTTTTGGCAAAGTGGGGGCCATGCTGAGCAATAGATGGCACAATGTGTGGTGGCTCAATCCTCAGGACCATAGGAACAGAACGCCATCGTGCGGTCCCATATCTTACGTGAAGCTAAGCGATCTGGCGGAAAAATGGAGTGGGTTTTGAAAATCATGCAATTACACTATTTTATCAACTCAAAGAGAATCGAGCACTAAGCACGGCTTATGAATGAAGAAAGAAAGGCGAAGGAGGAGACTGGAGGCAGCGGAGAGAAGCTGGGGAGGGAGGGAAAAAGGAAGGGGAGAGACATTCGGCTTGAAGCAGGATGGAAGAGAAAAGCTCCCGGAAGTGGTAGTCAGAGAAAGGAAGGATTGGAGTCTGTAGAGGATGTTGGAGGGCAAGTGAGGGAGGGAGGGAGGGAGGGAGAAAGAAGTCGAGGGAGACCCGTCGAGTTCGTTAAACATCCATCGGGTGGCAGTGAGGGAAGGTGGAAAATGTGTGGTGAGACCGTCTAGTGGGGGCGAGGTGCAATAGATCGAGAGTTGCGGGAGTCCGAGTCGATAGGGACCGAGAGGAAGTGCGATAAAATCTGCTGAAATACGATAGGTTTACGGCCCAGAGGACAGGAAGTGCCACACTGGGCAGGCCAGGAGAGTGGTTCTCCTGCATCGTGCGACCATCAAAATGTAAGGCTCACACTATCTCTCTCGTCCAGTTGTCATTCAACGGATAAGGAGCGATTTTCTGTGCTCGCCTCTGCGGGTTCATCATCACAAGGCCAACGCACGCAGACAGCACGTCAAGGGTTATGGCTCTTACATGACTGAATTCTTTGCGTGGTGAGTTGCATTCTTGACTTAATTCGTGGATGTCGGAGAAATGCCTGTTGCGCGATTGCGGAGCCGGTGCACGGAGAGAGGTATGGCTTCGGGTGGAGGGCCGAATTTCCGTATGCACGCGTCCCATTTTAAGTGGCATCGCTCCCCCGATTCGCTGCCCGTCCCATCAAGCGACAGTTGGCGGCTTCCTCAGATGCTGCCTGCTGAAGCTCTGTCACACACCAATCATTCGCCTTTCTTCTCCCATCATTTCAGGCAGGATCAAAGAACAGAAGAGCTTTACGTCGAAACCATTCATTAACATCGCCTTGCCAAACAAGAGGAAGACCACGACCCCACGTGCCTCCGCAAGCAACGCTGGGGAAGGACGAGAAGGGAGAGGAGGAGGGAAGGGAGGAGATGTGCTCCGAGGCCAATGGGAGCACGGTGTACTGGTCAATGTCGTGCAGTTTTGCTTCGCCAGGGACTCTCCTTGGAATGACCCCAAGTACTGAGGGATTACAACTCAGGTAGTGCGTGTCTACATATGTGCCTCTGTCAAGTTTCTTTCGCAAATATATCAGCTATGGAGGTTGAATAATAAGAGAAGGATTCGATAAATGCAGTTCGACATTGAAAGCAGCAGATTCGGGAAAACGAAGGACGAAATGACGAAATGGACAATCAAGAAACTCTTGGACAGGCAAAAGGTATGAAAGAATCTGTCACTTACTTTGCTGTTACAAATATGGGATAGAAGTCTATCTTTCCAGCTGCGATAGAACAAATAGTAAATTCATTTGATTTTTGAGGCATTGAGAAATGCAACAAGCGATCTGGAACCCATCGGATTTGGGAAGGACGTCGGCAAGGGTCCTTGAAAATAGTCTCGCAATCTTTGCTTTTAAATCTAACAATAGAAAGAATCCAGCGATGGCGTCATAGCAGGTACGAAGATTTGACAAGAAAATCAGCTTGCTCACGTGAAGCAGCCTACAATCTTAAGGAGACCGCTCAAGCTGCGCAGGCGTGTCGATCCAGTAGCATGTGTATGAGCAACAACATGACGAAATCATGCGATGGGCTATGTTCAATTCCTTCACTCTATAACCCTATCAATGTCCCAGTCAAATGATATCGCCCGATAAACTTATTCCTGGACAGAGGTGTTGTCTCTTAACATGCAACTGAATGTCCACTTGTCAAGGCTTTGAGGTAATGGCGGGCTTTCTCATGCGGAGGGAAGCGTTGGTAGAACCAAACACTTCGACACGCATTAGTTGATAGGGACATCTTCACACAGGCAAAAGGGATCGAACGGACATGCTTTCGTAGTCAAGACTGAAAATCATACCGTGGAATCCATACGGGATAGATTTGCGCCCACTGGTGCTTCTTTTCTGTTTAATGCTAGCGCCTTGGGGGGTAGGGACAGGGCGCCGCCGCTCGTTACTTCAAGTGCTACACTGCGCTTTCACAAAACTCAGAGGTTGCCTCACCCACATTAAAGAATCACGTACCGTTCCGTACTTCACGTGCAAAATATACACAGGACAAAGTGTGATGTCTGGCATGTAAGATGCCACTCACATTTCTGTACGTATAATGCGAAGCCCTCGATTCATAAGTGGTGTAGTGACCTCCTCTTCCCAATTTTCCTGGAAGCTTTTTCCCTTGTTTTCTCGTTTAAAAGAACAGTTGGGAAAATATAATGGCTTCAAATTGGCTTGAAAAAGCAGTCGTCCTCATATTTAGCGGCATCTGGCGCATAAGATTGACCTTGGCTGCAACGCTCGACTCTCCGTCGCCCCAAGCCTGGCCCTCTTCATACACCGTGGCGAACGCCCCTGGACGTGCGCCCTTCTTTCGGGGCGACTCCTTCGTGGTGTACTCACAACCTATGACTACCAAGTATGGAGAGGCCTGCAACGAGAGGCAAGCGCCGATTCCCTTGCCTGCTTACATTGCCGCTCGCTTCAACGGGTCGGTCATGGCGGTAACAGGTCTGGAGGTCGACGTCGTCCAAGTCGACTCTAACACAGGCCTAGAGCGAAGCGTGCCCAGGGCAGATTTTTACAATCATCATTATATACTTGGGCTGCGCTCCGCCTGGTACATATCCCCCTCTGCGTCTCCAAGTGATGAAGAGCAAGTTGAGCAGCAGGAAGCAATTAGCACCGGTAGTCGGGAAGGAAATGCAACGCATGGCCTGCTTTTGCCCCACAGCGGTAAGGGCCGCGTGCGAGATGGTAGTTTTCGAAAAGATATCGCAGACGCTGACCTCAAGGCGTCAACGAGCAGCCACGACCAGGGAACCTTCGGTGGCGTCAGGCGCACCCAGGAGAGCGCCGTGCTCCAACCTGATCTTGGCGTCCGTCTGAGCCCCAAGACCTCGGCTTCAGCTCCTCCTCTACGGAATGTCTCCAGAGCCATCTCTGCCTTACGAGGGACCATCCCTCTCCTTCAAGTTTTCTGTGAGGCCAATGGGGGGGAATATAAGGAAACCTACCGAGGTTTTCCACCCGGCTATGCCCAACTGATTGCCTCCCCCGCCTATTTCTGGCCAATTCAGCTTCATTTTATCAATACCAGGGCCTCTATACCTCGCTCCCTCGTCCCTGCCTCGTCCCGCGCCGACCCCACCCGGGACTCATGGAACGGACTGATCGAATGCCCCTGCTCCAACAGGCGGACCTTCGACCTGAGGGCGAATTTGGTGGATGGGAAGCCCCCATACCCGGTCCACTGTCAAGGTGAGGTGCTGGCCCAGAGCAATCCCGTCTGCTCCCTTGCCACCTACCAAGGTGGCCTCCGCTGCTGTGAGCCTGGCATGGTCTTGCTGGACAGGGAGCAGCTGCAGCCAGTGGAGGAGGACACCTACCTACTGAAGGCGCGCTTCTGGTACGAGGAGTACCGCGAGGAGGGGGCCGGGCAAGGGCGGGGGGACGCAGTGGAGGGCATTGTGGGCAAAGGGCCGAGAATGGTTCAGGAGGGGGGGAGAGCGGTTGTATCTGGGCATGAGAAAGGGAAAGTAACGGTGGGGAGGGAGGAAAAGGGGGAGCCGCCCGAAGGAGAAATTACCGACGACAGAGTGGAGGGAGTTCGGAGGCTTGCTGCTGTCAAAGACAGCAAGATGCCTGTATATGAGACGTACGAAGAACCAGAGCCTTCACCACCGATTCGCGCCTCGCATGCTCACCTGTTCAAAGTCTACCTCCAGACGGAGCAGTGGGCGGGCGAGTACGACGTCCCCCCCTGCGACCCTCGCACCACCCTCGATTCCTCCCAGTGCGTACACGTGCTTACGAGTCTCAACGTTGCCCGCGAGCTCTTTAGCGATTGCGCCTTCTCGACTGATAAGGACTGCGCGGACCTGAAAGCCCTTAGGGAGGCGGGGGGCCTGTTCAAGCTCGTGTACGCGGCGGGGCACGTGCACGTCGGGGGGCTGTCGCTGGAGCTGATCAATGCCGATACAGGCGCTCTGATCTGTCGCAACGAACCTATTTACGACCCGGCGACTGGGCTTATCGCCAGCACTCCCCCCTGTGTGTGGGGCGACGTGCAGGAGGCAGAGGGAGAGGGGGAGGGCGGGCGTCAGCTGCTTCCAGCTCCGCCGGTGCTGCATGCCGAGACCCGCCTCCTGTCGATTGCTCGGTATAATTCGAGCGGGAGCGGGCATTTGGGGGTGATGGCTTCCTGGCAGATGCGCGCAGCCTACGCTTTTGGGGATGTTTGAATGTCTGGATCTCAGGTGGAAAGCAGGAGGAGGGCGGAGGTGCTGCAGTTGTCCTGCTCTCCATAAAACCGTTTGTGTTCGTTTCAATCTAAGTATACTCGGGAAAAAGTCAAAATAGCGTCTGTCTTTTTCTTGGAAGAAAAAAAGACGACGACAAGAAACAGTCAGACCGCGAGGCCGCTGCTTGAAGTGCGTGCCTCCGAGCAAGCTTTCTCGCCGTCTAGCAGTCTTAAGTTCTTCTCGTCTAAACACTAGCGACCTACGTTCACATTATTTCATTGTACACATGTCTTCCTTCCCTTTTAAAGATTTCTCCAGCCGTCCCTCTGTGGCGCTTGCTCCTGGCACAAAACGAGCCACCCTGACTTCAGAATGTCTCGCTGCTGTCCATCATTCTTTCCATTTCCGTGCCTTCCTATCCAAAGTATTTGAAAGAGCTAAACAAAATTAAATATATTTGCGCAAGGATCTTTGATTATATGCAGCTCCCTTCTCCCTTTCTTCACCTGGCCCAGTGCGGTCAAACAATTATCAATCCTTCCCTTGTTCCCCTTCCTCCTCCATGCCTAAAGACCGGAGCAATACGTCCACCTCCCGCTCTCGAGACTCGATCAGCTGCAACAAGCTTTCCAGATCATTGCTTAAGGACTTCAGAGTAGAAGTCTCCAGGGACAAGTCCGACTCCCTCCGACTGCCTGTATCCACTCCCCCAGCAACGCCCGCATCTTCTTCCCCTTCCTTTAACGACCCTCTGAGCTCTTCCAATTGCTGCAGAAGACTTTCCAGTTTGGCCCCAATTTCTGCGGTCAACGAGGCGACTTTAGGGTTGAACTCTGCCACGCCAAAAGTAACGATCTTGTTGCTCTGATCTTTCACTTGTGCATAGATGCCAGTAAGTCGCCCAATAAGGGTATCCACTTCAACCTTTAATTGAGCCCGCGCTTGTCTCATCATATGTTTACTTTTATCCCTGCTGCTCAACCCCTGCTTCGATGTGAAAGCACCACCTCTCTGTTGCTTACTTTGGCGCTTTTCTAGTTCTTTTTGTTTGATGAGCTCAGGATCGATCCATTTGCTCCCCCGGCGGCGTCCACCAGGTGGAGGAGGGAAAGGTGAGTTGTATGGTGATGCTTTTTGTCTTACTAATGCGCGATGTGGTGGAAAGGATGACTGCCAAAAACCAAAAACAAAAGTCGGAAGGAAGGTGGCCAGCGCCATAAAAGAACAAGCAAGGGGAGAGCCTAGCGGCGCCATTCCTCCTTTCGATGTCCAGCCTCTTGAGCACCTTGTCTAACGTATATTGAAATATGCCGACGGGAAAGGAAGCAAACAGAGGTCAATCTACCCCGGTAAAGAGATACGGGTGCCAACGACAACATGCAGGTATGATGAAAGTCGAGATGGACGGCAACGTCATCAGACTGATGGCTTCTTCCGACAAACTCTTGCCGCATTATACAAACAAACGCTCTCGTACACATATTCCCTTCCAAGAACTTGATGTACGTGGACAAAATGCCCATCTTCAAAGCTTCCTGTCGCAAAAATGTCAACGGGTTGTCTGTTTTTAGGTCTCCGACGAACAGACGAACAGGCGGCTGCGGAGGCTATGATGGGAAAAGTACCTAGGTGCTCGGAGTTGGGACTTGGTCATTAGTTTCAGGTTAGGGCCACTCTTACGCTTTGGCTCAGGGGTGGCGAGGGACGTCGTTCTCTTCTCCTTCACTCCTGCTCTACTCTCAACTACCTCCACGTTCTCGGGCATGGTTTGGAGCTCCGAGTAATCTTCTGATGGGGGGGAGGGCGGACAGGGGAGAGGTCGGGGAGGTCAAGTCGAGCAATGACTCCAAGGGTCTGAAAGGTAGGGAAGGAGGAAAGGAGGAAGGGAAAGAAGGTGTCTTTGTCTCTCTCAGCCGTTGATTTTCCCCTTGTCCACTCCAATCCGTCTCTACTCCTTTTTCCTTTTAACATTTCCCTCGATTTTCTTTCCCAGCCCTGCCTCCTTTTCCTCCTTGCGTCTCTCCTTGCTTGTGCTGATCTATTTCGCGGATCGGATGGACCTCACTTTGTTTTGGCGTCTGCTTTTTCCCGTCTCTCCTCTCCTCTATTATCTTGATATCTGTTTCCTTGCTTGCCTTTTCTCATGTTGGTGTCTACCTCTTTCCAAACTTTTTTTCATCGTGGTGTCTCCTTCCCTGCCTTTTCTCCTCCATCGTTAGGTCCAATTTTTAATCTCGAGATGTCCTTATTCAGACCTGGACCCCGATGTACGGTAAGTGTGAGTGTAGAGGGAGGGAGGAAAGGAGGAAAGAAGGGAAGGATGGAGGGAAATGAGCGGGGCAGAGAGGTGGTAGAAATACTAGTCAGGCTCTACAGACGCGAGAAAATGAAAGGAGAAAGACAACTCATAATTTTCTCTGCCTATTCCTTCCACTCCTACACGTCCTCATTACTTCATTCCCCCTTTTTCTTCTTCTCTTCTCCTCCCCTCCCTCGCTCTTTTTCTCCCTTCATCCTCTTTCCAAGACATGGTCAACGTGTGGAGACCTCCCTGCCTCAGCCTCTAAACTATCTGAAGCTAGTGCTCTACTCAACGCTGACAGTAAGAGAAATAGGGAGGGAGGGAGAGAGGAAGGGGAAAGACGAAAGAAAATTGGGGGTTGGTGCGTGTGAAGGCTAGGGGGCACGCAGGTGACGGGCAGTCCGCAGCGCCGCGGGAGTATGTGGAATTTCAGTGGGGGCGGCTGTGGTGGTGGGGAGGATCGTGATGGAAATGTTGCCATAAAATAAAGCATTGTGAGTGTGCAGATCGGTTCTGTACGTAGTAAGAAGGGCGTCACGATATTTGGGAATCGGGTGGACAGCTATGAGTTTTCTTTCTTGAAATCATACATAGGACATGCTATCCCTTACTTGTCCTCAAAATCGTTCGGTGATTTGTCTTATTTCCACACGTTGTATCGTCCATATACAGTCTTTCATTTCTACGGCGGCCCCGGTGCATGCCGCTTGCCCACCGTCTTTACTCACTGCACTCGACAACCGACTCGAAACTCGACTCGGCATTCGATCTCCTGTCCATCTATCCGCAGGCCTCTTCAACCCTGACCCGCTGCTTCTAAGGCCCTAGAGGGAGTCCCAGAAAGCCTTCAACTGGGCGCCGTTCGTTATGAGCGTCCCAAGAGTCCCCCCAATTAATACAAGCGCGGTTCCCACCGCTTGCGCCTTCACGATCGTCTTCGTGAACTCATCTTGTTTCACCATCATGCCCTTGAATTGGGCTTCCGCAGCCTCCATCCTCGTATCCAACGCATCCATCCTCATCCCCATCTTCGTCTCCAACGCATCCATCCTCGTCCCCATCTTCGTCTCCAACGCATCCATCCTCGTCCCCATCCTTTCCTCAGCGACGCCGATCTTCGTCCCCAAAGACTCCATCTTCATCTCCATCCTCGCCTCAGCGGCACCCACCTCTGCCCTGAGAGACCTCACCGCATCATCGACTCTCGTCCCCATCCTCGCCTCAGCGGCACCCACCTCTGCCTTGACCAAGTCGTTGGTCTTTTCGAGCTTTATGTCGATCCGGTCCAGGAGGAGCATCAGCTCCAGGCTGCGGATGCCCTTTCCTAGCCCCTGCCTCTGCCCCCCCGCCGCCCCCTGCTGCGTGTATTGGCGTGTCTACGGTGGTGAGCGAGAAGGCAGGCGGGAAGGAACACGGGAGGAGGAAAAGCGAACGCATCTATCTTCAAACACGCACCCTCACCGTGTCTCCCCCGACCGCCCGGCCATCCTCCCCGCTCGTTCCCTCAACCTTGTCCGAGCCCGCCACGAGGCTGGCGCCTACGAACGAAAGGGGCTGGTAGGGGCGACTTGGCAGCGGCAGCGGCCGCAGTGGCCAGCGGCTGCAGCGACTCAGTCGTCCAGGGCCCTGAGGCAAGGCGAAGCCACGGACAAGACAGTAGGGAAGCCACCCCACCCAGAGGCAAACGAGCAAGAGCAATACGCCCGTGCGACCCGTACCACAGCCTGCGACCGCCCTCGTCGTCCGCATCGTCGTGCGCGCGTGCACGTGCAGGGGGCTCGATGACGAGCGTTTTTGGTCTACGGTCGAGTCGAGGCCTCTGTCACGCCGCCGCGTGCCTGCAAGGAGGGGGAGTCGAAAACATGAGACGTGCATCCGTTCCTTAGATTCAATACGAATGTAGCCTGATGTCTGTGTG